ATTTGATTCTCCTAGGTGTTATTTATCATACACTCCTCATATACTTTTCAAGTCTATGGATGAATTCCTCAGCTTTTGATGAAACCTCGACCAACAATAAAGTATAGTTTGATTCAAGTGAGACAAGCTTCTATATCGTGTTCAATTATCATTTGCAGTTTTGGTTTTCGACCTTCTGGAGTGCTAATCTTCTCTACACCTGGTTTCTTTGTCTCTATTTTTTTTATTGAGATGAGATCTGAATTCTACAGTAAGAAGATACTCAATTAAGATCTTTAGGTCCTCCCCTTGTATAAGAGTAGGTCACAACAGACTCTTCTGTCACTGGCATAGGATGTGTGAGCAACGTAGTACATCTCAGGCCAGTCTGAACTACAAGGTGAGACACTTTCTCACAAACAGGATAGTAGACCAAAGTGAAACAACAAATGTAGAAAGCTGTTTCTCCTTCCACTGATCTCTAGTGCTTAGAGGTAGACAATAGTAATCACAACCTCATAGGAATATTGTGAAGCCTGTTGATGATCTATACTATAAGAATGTAGCTGGTCCTCAGCAAGAGGCATTATAATGAGTTACAAAACCTGCAGAACCTCTAAGCGTATCATATTCTTTAGGAACAGTTTGTAAACAATCAGTAAGTATATATTTGAAAGGAGCTTTTCAATGACATGGCCCAGAACCAGGTTAAGAGTTACTCAGCCACATAGCCATGTGAGTCTTATGAGTCATATTCCTAATACCCTAAGCAGCTTTTTGACAGGGGTGATCAGTTTAGGTTCCCTGCTGAGTCTGCAATGTGAAAACCCTAAGGAGAATTTAAAGGGGGAAAGGTGCATTTGGCGTCTGGGGTTCAGATTTCCAGCCTGTTAACGATCATGGTAGAAGGAATGGAGGCAGAGAAAAATACTGGAAGGCTCCAATGGAAGGGTTTATCTTTTCAGTGTGTGCCCTCACTTACTTATTTCCTAGAATGCGTTCAGCTCTGACCATATTCATGGATTATTCTGGTGATGAAGTTTTTCCTTTATCAGCCTATCAAACCTCAGAAGCTCATTAGCTTGCAAACAAGCCTTTAACTTTTAGGAGAACTTTAGGAGGACACTTCATGTCCGAACTACACCCCTTACTTATGAGTTTTAAATCTAGATCTACAGTGTGACCCAAATAAGCAGCCGTTTTTTATTATGGGTTTAAAAACCATTCCCCTCCACCACCAAGATGCTTATGTGAGTTTCAGAAATGGAAAGCTATATCTAGACTTACCAATGCTTGAACATGTTATCTGATCCCTCTTCATAAAAATCTCCATGACATTTCTTCTTTTATCTGATTCAAAATCAATGTACATTGAGTGTGATGTTTTAAATCTACTTCCTGGAACTCAAATAATAATACTTTAATTCCCCATGTACTTTAACAACACCTGCCTTTCTTAAATTGGCCGCTCATGACTGTGCTTCAAGCCTACCCAGACCTAAATGTTTGAAGTATCCTAAACAAAAGCCTGGATGTACAACTTTAAAGGTTGTCTAGATTTTTCTTTCCCACCATGAATGTTCCCTAAAGCATCCAGTTTCATGACGGAAAGGAGAGCAGATTACCATCTGCATGGTGCTTAGTGGGCCTGCATCTGCTGGGTGATCATAGGAGATGGGAAAAAGAGAGCAGATTACCATCTGCATGGTGCTTAGTGGGCCTGCATCTGCTGGGTGATCATAGGAGATGGGAAAAGGGCAGGGCATCTCAGTAGTGTTCAATGCACAAGAAGAGTAACGTGGATGACTTAAACTCCAACCAAAATAGAATGTTTCTCAAGGACACCAACTCCCATGTGGTTTATGTGAACTCCAGGCATTCTGGGAAGCTCGACTTAAGAGGTAATACGTTACTCACAAAGGGAAAAAAAAAAGTAACTTCAAAAAGAAATATTGCTCACACACACACAGCCACAAATCGGGTTGTTAGCAATGCCTCAGCTTGATTCATTTTGCATAATTGGCTTAAAACTTCCTCCCTTGATTAGTGGCACCATTGGTTCAAATGCACCAATGTTTACATTTACGATGTTCCACAATGTCTGCGCCATTGTATAAAGTCCCTTCCCTTATAGATCTCAAAGACCACTTTAGAAATAAGGCAAGACGATACAATATGATCAATGTAGGAGACTCTTTAGAGAAAGTATGACCTGGGATGGACTAAATTCTACCTGAATTCACAGTGAATTTGTGGATTTGCTCAGAACAGCCTCCTCTTCTGGATGACTACAGCTTAGGTTTCAATCTAGGTTCAGGTAAATGATGGAAGTTAGCGGCTCCCTCGTTACTTATCTGAACATTTCCCTAAAAGACTGGTTATAAATGTGCTATGATCTTTGAAGTTTTACAGACATCCTACTCTGAGTTGTCCTTGACTGTGTTCAAATCAGAACATGGGAATGGAACGCATCATAAAGAAAAAGGTTGATGATACTTCATCATTCATAAATAAATATTAATTTCTTTCATACTTTTATAAATTCTATGGTGTTGTAGTCATTTCAGTGTGGCAGAAAGGTATTTTGTACCATCTCTGATAAGTAATTTGTTGTTCATTTATTTTATATTTTAGCCATGTTTCTCATGCAACAATCCCCTAGATAATGAGCACACCATGTTTAATCTGTTAGTCACAAAAATATAGAGTTTAAAGCTTTACTGTAAGGATATTTTTATCTTGCAACAGCATCATGGGACTAAAGATAATTGGCTATGAATCCAAATCTTACACTAAATTTAAAATAGTTTTGAGACCCTAGTGTCTGCTAAATAGAATCCTAAAGGAGCAGCTAAACTACAAATGGTTTTCTAAATTTTATACCTTTATCCTTCTCAAGAGAAACCTCCACCAAAATGGACTGTATTATCACTCTCTAGTTTCTGTTGCTAGCCCCTGAAATTTGCATAGTTGACTCAGGTTAAAGTACCTTTGGAGTCCTTAGGATCATTTTTATTTTAATGCAACTATTATAGTTGCAAAAATATAGAATCACAAAAAAAAAAAAAAAAACCCTTGGGAAAACCATGCAAAGTTCGAAAACATAGTCATTTGTGACAATGGGGAACATTGACTGAGCCAGAACTCTTGAGAAGCAAAAGTACTGCATATATGCACAATATGGCAACTGTGAAAGGTAATTACACCAAACATGGCTGGAGTTGGAAAGACATGGAGGAAAGGAACAGGACACAAAAAGAAATTATAATTCTCCAAACCTTCATTCACTGTTGTTATTGAGTTTATGGAGAAAAAAGGAAGCAAGATCCCAGTTATGAGGCATAAACTCCTGGTTTCATCTGTCAGAGGGAAGGAAACTTGGAAGGCCTAAAACTTGTACTTGCTGAGTAGGAATTCTTTTTTGCTGCCTGCCTAACTTCATAGTTTCAATTATTGTGAGCTGTCAATATTATTCATTTTCCCAGCTTAGAGAAAAGAGAAAAAAGTTAATTCCCACAGATGGATACATTAGTGTGTGCGTGCGTGCGTGTGTGTGTGTGTGTGTGTGTGTGTGTGTGTGTGTGTGTGTGTAAAATGCAATGCAATGTTTAAGGACAATGCAATGCAAAATCTTCATACTCTCAAAGCCACCTCCAGTGACATCTCTCCCCCAACAAGGCCAGCTCTCCTAAGCCTTAGCAAAGAGCCCCAACACCTGTTGATCAAGGACTGGAATGCCTGAGGCCAGCAGGGATCATGTCATTCAAACCTCCACAGTCTCAAATAGTGAACAAAGACTACTTCAGTCCTGAGTATCCTCTGCCATAGTGGATGTTAACACGACCATCTCAGAAACATCTGCTTAAATGCAGTCTTTTCCAAATATTGATAAATGTTTGTTTGTTTTTATAAAATTGACGGTTATTATCTTACATTGAAAACCGAAATTTTCTTGCCCCCTTTGAGAAACTTTTAAAAACTAATGGCAAGGAGCCCCACAGGGCACAGGGCCTGCATTAGTTGCTCTCAGTAGGGATTCTCCGGTTGATATTTTCATTGAATCTACTTGTCTGGTTTTACAAGTGTGACTTTCTTTCTGGTAATTGCCTTCTCCATGTCTGCTGTCTGTCTCTGAAGGAGTAAATTCTGAGTGAAGGACCTAGAGATGCTAGTTTCTAGAACCATATAGATTATCTTAATAAATCCACCTATAAGCTACGGGGACAAAGAACTGGTTCCTTTTTCTGGGAATACAGACTTTAGAGGCTCTATTTCCCACAGCTCTCAAAGGCTCAGCTGGCTTTTGAGTTTTGGGGTTTTGTTCTGGGAGGGGGTAGGCTAAGAGGCAGAATACTTTTAAGAGCCATTTCATTTTCTGAGTGGCATATGGAAAGAGGGATATAAGGAATCTTTCTGTGCCTACTTACCTACACTTCAGCTTTCTCTGTCCTGTGACCTGATCATCTTCCACTCTGTCCCATGAAGCTTATCATAGATCTCAACTCCAGACCAAATCAGAGGCCAGGAAAAGATACAATACACAGACCCTGGATTGCAGAATGCTTCGTTAATTGGTTTGTGCGAACGAGAATGGGTATTTGTTTTGCTTTGCTTTGAGTCCTGTTAGTTTCTCAAGATAATCAAGGGCTAAGAACCACTGGTTTACTATATGCACTTTGTGTTAGACGTTTGTATTGAAAGATTAAATGACCAGATTACATACATACATACATACATATCCTTCTTGCAATGTTATTAGCATTGAAATCTAACACATAACAAATGCTCATTTATCTTAGTTCTTAAACTTTTTTTTTCTTTGAAAAATACCAGGGAAGTCTACTTCATATGGCTATTATATGCACATACTTGGCATAGTCTCACCTTCCGAAACACTAGGCTTTAGCTTTCATTATTGAGATCCTTTTATTATCTTTGCATTAGTTAACCGTTGTTTCTTGAATGACTTTATCTGTAATTGGGAAGTCATGTGTATGTCACTATCTTTCTCTTACTCATAGCACCAGAAGAATGGTCCACAACGCGTTCCAGCCTGAAGGCATTACCACCAAGGTCAGCCAGAGGGGGATACAGGGAACACCCGTATGGTAGATATTGAAGGTCTTCTTCACCTGTGACCTCCTCAAAGACAGTTCATAGCCTCTGATCTCCATACAAACAGCAACAAGACAAGTAATAGTCCTTTTTGTTTGTTTGTTTGTTTGTTTCTGCTCTAGGGATAACTACTCCCACCTACTTCTTGTATTTTCCCCTACACTGTTGATGTGACATTGACGCTAGTATTATTTTACAAAACAGACTGAAAAAAAATAAAAAAAAAAAACCATTGGCAAGTATAGTTTATAAACCATTCAGTAGGATGATATATCTCGATTGTTTTTTTTTTTTTAAACTGTTGTGTGTAAAACTCCTTTCCCCATTTTGTTTTAGTATCATTTTTCCTTTTTCTTTTGTAATAACAGCATGAATCTGTTCGCAGATTTTGAGTCTCAACCAACTAGCAGACTTTTGTTTAGGGTTGCTAAAAGACTGTAATATGATTTTGAACTAGCTGATAATAAAGTTGTAGATAAGATGTTTTAACCTGTCTTTTAATATCTGTTAGTCAGATGGAGATGTTCAATATTAAGTTGTAAATTTAATTTTAAATGCTGTTTTAATGGGGTTGCAAACAAGCAGCTACTGTGTGTATGTAGCTAACTGAATTTGTTCAGTGTTTTAACCTGTATTTGTTAAAAAAAAAAGAAAAAAGAAAAGAAAAAAAACACACATAACGTTCCATGTGTAAGCCTCTCTAAATAGGAACCACAATTTGTCAAATATGTTTGCCATAGTTTGTCAATAAAGCTGAAGGCTTTTGTAAAAACTAAATTTGGAATTACTTGTTTTCTAACTTTAAATGCCTGCTTTATTTCTTCTTCAAGAGATGCCTAAAATGTTTTCTATTTAAAAATTACAAAAAAATGAACCCAAGCCTGTTTTAAGATATCTGTGTAATACTTAAAATGTATTAATAACTTATGGTTGTTAAATAATTTAAAAGTTAACAAACTAAACTGTTACATGAGTCATGGTTAGTAGACACTAATGTATAACATGTTAATGGACGCAATGGATTTAGAATAATAAATGGATTTTAAACTATCCTCTAAGCTTTATCTTGCTAAACACAAATTCTGATTGACTTGTTTGCACTAGCGTGTCTCTCGTGAGAAAGAGTAATGGAGTATAAAGAGGTAAGATTACCACTTACCACTGTCTAAATGCCTAGTTCTTCAACCTTTGAGTTTCCCCGCACATTAAATATCCCATCCAACATGTAAGCATTGCATAGATTCACTTTATTGTTTTCACTCAGAGGAGTGCGTGGACTTCATTTGCGTAGTTTATAACAGTTTGTTTGACAAACAAATCATCAGTGTCAATGGCCAGTTGTTGCTATTCAACCTCAAAAACTTTATTTGTAATTTTCAGTGCTAAATATCACCGCCCTTGAAGGCAGTTTAGAGGGCTGATATTTCTTTTGAGACTATCAGACTTGATGGCTGATGATTGTTAAGGAAATATGTCGCAGGACTCACAGGATGACTAAACGTTAAACAGGTAACACTAATAGTAACTGTAAGTTTGCCTATGCAACAGTAATGTTAAATCTTCTCAGTTATTAAGTTCCTGATAGTTAAAAAAGTAAACCTACAAAAATATAACAAATAGGTCTATAGGCTATTAAAACAACTAATCAACTTTAACTAGAGGCACCAAAATTATTTTACAATATATAACCCTCAAGGTAATAAACAGAACTAAAATTAGCAATAACAGTAATTCAACTCTTGCTAACATCAAACGTTAAGCTAAATTTTGATGGAGAAATACAAAGCGGGAGACTTGATAGTAGGGATGGATGCCAAAACTGTTACTCCTTTAAACATAGTTTTTTTTTGTTTAATGGTGGCTTTTTGTCAATGTGATTGGTTTACTTTTTTTGCTGCCTATCAGCTGAGGCATTTTGCTGTTTAGTTTTTGCAGCTGGAGTTGCATGCTAATAGTTTTATGAAGTGTGTGTCTGTCAATTAAAATTGTAAGCATTTGCCTTTTAAAGATGCTGCTCAGTTATGTTTTCGTCTTCTATTCTTTCTTACTATTTCAGGTTCGCACAAAGAGCATGTAAATGTTAGCAGATGTGATGGGCTAAGGAGAACAAAGGTAAGCTGATGGTTGTCACTTTTTACATAATCTGTACCAAACTATAACACACTATGAAGATATAGTAGCGAGCTAAAACTCTAAATGCCACCTTTTGGCATAGTAAGAAAGCTCAGATTTAAAGAGCTCAGTAATTTTTATCTGTGCATTAAAGATATGGCTTGACAGTCGACTGGCAAGGTTTTCTACAGTTGTTTAAGAACTTATCAAATGAAATAAGAAGTAGTGATTAATATTTAGCCCTCTCCTCTGTAATGAACTCCTTTTCTACAAACCATTCTCCCAGTTGTACAATCCATCATAGTATTAGAACTTGTAATACTCTGAAGTTACAAAAGTCAAAAAACATAATCTTTAAGAAAGGTTAAGCCAATGCCAGAATCAAATAAATACCACCATGGCTTTCCCAATTGGATCTCCTCGACTGATTGAAAAATTCCTTGTTTCTCAGTTTCCATTTTATTTGATTTAGCAAATAGTTATTGAGTAACAAGCACTCTCGGAAATTGAGGCCTAAGTTCTATACAGGAGGATCTGAAAATATTAGCCAATCAGCTGCAAAGTAAAGTTAAAACAAAGACATTTATGAAATCCACCACGGACTGACCCAAGGCAAAGAGAAATGAAATTACTGTGTCCAGTGTTTGAGGAAGGGTTGAAAACCCCAAGCTTTCTGTCTCTGATCATTTCTTTGTTTGTTTTTGTATTTTTTATACCATATATATTCATTATTTGGGTTAAGCTTGAAGCAGTTCTAGGACTTGGGGTGGGCTCCAGAACTTGGATAGGCTGGAAGGAACAGCGGAGACTTTATTCAGTAGGGTAGAAAGAGTCCTGGGGGAAGGAGATGCAGTGTTGGAAATGCCTCTTCAACTCACAACCCTGGAGACTTTTATAAGCACAACCTTTGCAGGAGTGTAGCAAGGGGGGGCATTAGAGGGCAAACATCCACAGGGAAACAAGGTAAAATCCACGTGGAGCCATTTGCAATTACTAACACTGTGTTCATGTAAGGTGGTTTCTCCAAATTCAAGTTGTTGGGATAACTACTGAACATTCTCTGGATTTCAGCCACAGGACCTTTGTAGACTCAACTATTCAAAGTTACGGAGACAAATTTCAGAAGTTAATTAGAATGAGCACTTTAAATGGTTTTATAAAGCCCATGGGAGAAGCTCAGAATCAGAATCCCTGTTGCTTTCAACTAGTAGCAGGCTTTAATAGCACAGAGGAAGAAGCCCAGCCACAGCCTCTAAAGGTTTGATATACTAGCCCTAATTTATGTTCATTATAATAATCTAATAGTTGTTCTGTATGTATGAGCTATCCTGACCCCTGGGTATTCTAATCAAGGACCACTTATGTTCAAAACCCTCTATCTCAAGCTAAACTTGATGGCGGCATGCCTCCCAGAACTTCTCCCATGCCACAGGATTCACCCTCTGTCCTGCGGAAGAGGACGTGGAATGTTCACCATATCCTATTTGCGTGAGCAAGGGCCAGGCTGTTTGGAAGAGCTGTAGACATGTTCAGGCCTTCTGCAGAAACACAAGGAGAGTCTTGAACATGTAGTCATCTGCAGAAAGTCAGGGACCAGTGCTGGCTAGGATGTGCAAATGCCAGTGGACACAATCGAGTAGCAGAAAGACAACAGTTGGTCCCTGCCATTTCCAAGACTCAAATTCAAACCACAAAATGAAGAGGAAAATAATCCCTCGAGTTATACAAGCTTAGGATTATTTTTTGCCTGCCTGGAAGAACACACAGAGTAATATGAAATCAAATTTAGGAATAGGAAAACATGATTTTATATATACAGAGCAGATTTTTTTAACTGAATAATTTTACCAACTCATCAAATAATTACAAATAAATACAGTAGGATTATCTGGAACTGGGAAGTGAAAATTCTCCCAAGGTAGAATGGTATCCTTTCACCCAGTGTTCCTAACAGAATGCCTCTCCTATTAGCCTATGAGCAGAATGCCTCTCCTATTAGCCTATGAGCAGCAGAAAGAAATGCTGGGTTCCACTGCCAACATCATATCTGCTCTCAGGAGCTCAAAGTGATGGCTCCGAAATATGGTGAAGATTCTCATATCTGAAACCACCTCATGCAAGTGATGGAATTTGCATGGCACACTTTAAACCAACCTCCGTACATTCTGTTTACATACATTCTGAAGCTCTGGTCCCATGGAGCCCTTCAGATGATGAAGTTTCTATGGGTCGACTGATAATCCCATAAGAACTGGGAACTCACTGAAATACCAAATTTCAGCCCATAAGGAAGTATTTCAAATAACAATAGCATTTAGTAATTAAGAAAGTTTTGTGCCTTCCCTGGTCCAAGTTTTACTATAGTTAAGCTTGGCTAAAATAGGATCAGTGTGCTTGCATTTGAGAATCTAGTCATTGAATTCATGTCTTTTAATATTTAGATAGTATTCACCTTTAGTTTACTAATGGACCCAAAGATATTTGGCTTGATAAGAACTGAACTGCTAGTGATTTTTAGATGAATATGATGCAAAATGACATATAAACATTTTTGAAAATTCAATGAAAGAAATCGATGTTCTAGAAATATGTTAGTAAAATAATCGCCTCACTCCTTTAATGGTTCATTTAAAACACCTGTGCTTATGTTTCAGAATCACCTGTGCCCTTGGAGAGACACCCTTTGTAGCAATCTCTCTGCATTGATGCAGCAGAGACATATTTAGGGTTTGGTTCTGTTTGGTCTTGATGGGAACACAGAGCACTTTTCTGATGTTGGAGTGGGCAGAATACTCAATTTCAAGTTCCGATGTGGCAACACCTGTTACTGAAAATGTTGTCTGCCACTCATGCAGGATGCAGAAGACCCAAAGCCATTTTCTGGCCTCCATGAGTACCTACACATCCGTGGCACGCTCTCTCTCTCTCTCTCTCTCTCTCTCTCTCTCTCTCTCTCTCACACACACACACACACAC